AGAGAGGGCGCAAATCACCAGACTCAGAAGATGTTAAAGTTACAAAAGGACATTATGAACAATATTATTCCAAAAATTGGAATTTTAGATGAAATGAATACATTTTTAGGAAAATTCAGCTTACCAAAAGTGACATAAAAATAGAAAACCTTAGTCATATAACTAAGGAAGTTAAATCTATAATTAAGAAAACACTGTACGTAGAATTGCAGGCCCAGATGGCCTCAGTGGTACATTCTCCCAAGCTCTCAAGGAAGAAACGCTGTTAATGCTACACAGTCTCCTGAAGAATATAAAGAGGTGCCCCACCTGGTCCGCTTCACAAGGCTGGCAAGACCTGGCATTAAACACCCAATCGAGACAGGACGAGCCAGGAAAGGCACCGGCTAAGCCAGCTCACTAACCCAGGGGCAGCGTGTATGTTACGATGAGCGAGCCGGGGGCTTCGATGTGTAGCATAAAAACCACCCCAATTCCCAAATCCGCACACACGTAACTTAGACTAACAATAACTTGAAGGTTAATGCACCCAGCCAAGTTATGTTTATTCACAAGTTGGCAGATAGGCTTCACATTTCAAAAATCACTGTGCCGCAATTTTCTGTATTAAGAGAATAAAGAGCCGGGCATGGTGTTGCATGCCTGTGATCCCAGCACTCGGGAGGCTGAGGCAGGAAGATCACTGTGAGTTCAAGACCAGCCTAGGCTACATAGTGAGTTCTAGTTCAGTCTTAACTACATAGTGAGACCCTGTCTCAAACCCCCCCCCAAAAAAAGAGAGAGAGAATAAAGAACTGGGTGTGGTGGCACACGCCTATAATCCTAGCACTCTGGGAGGCTGACACAGGAGGACTGCAAATTTGCACCCAGCTTGCACCATTTAGTGACTTAGTGACAGAGTCCCAAAATAAAAAGGGTTGGGGACATGGCTTAGTGGAAAGGAAAGGTCCTGGGTTTCCAATTAAAAACAACAAAAACAGGGCCAGGGATTTGGCTTAGTGGTTCTGCTGCCTGCCTCGAAAGTGGATGGACCCGAGTTCGATCCCTGGTACCAAAAATAAACAAATAAATCAATTAACTAATTAACAACAACAAAAAAGGAAAGAAAGTAGGAAAATTTTAGAATCATTTCAATTGATACAGGAAAGGTTTTGACAAAATTTAACATCTATTCAATGTAAAAATGCTCAGCCAGCTAATTAGCAAACTAAACTTCTCTAGAAGTGGTGAAACCTCTTTAGTTTGATAAAGGCTATCTGCAAAATCCTGCCACAGACATTATTCTAAGTGATGGAATGCTGAAGGCTTTTCCCTCTGAGTCTGGCAATGCACAGAATGTCTGTTCTTGCCATATTTATGCATAATGTCCTGGAAGGTCCTGGCTCCTGGGAGAAACCCAAGACAGAGGATTAAAATGTACATGGATTGCTACTGCACGCCTGAGGAATACAGTGGGAGGACTTGGCCTCACCAGGCAGCTAGAAACCCAGTGAAATGACGACACAAAGATAGACAAATAGGCCAAAGGAACAAAATGAAGATTCCATAATTTTTAGTAATTGTTGGAAGTGATCCCTGCTACTCAGGAGGCTGAGGCAGGAGGATTGCAAGTTTGAGGTTAGCCTGGACAAGTTGGTGAGACTATGTGCAAACAAATAAGCAAACAGAGCTATGTTTAACAATTGGATCACAATGTTCCTGAAAATTTAACAACTTTCTCATGTGCCAGGATGAGCAAATCCCTGTAAACCACTTATCGTAGACCTGAATGAGAAAGGCAAATGTTCCTAAAATTCAAAATTATTCAACTTTTTAAAAGTTTATTATTTAAAAAATTTTAAATGACTTAGGAAAATAATAATCTCAAAATAGAAAATTATTTCCTTTTTATATTTTTCCTGTTGCCCAGGCAGCCCTCATATTTCTGAGTTCAAGGAATCCTCCTGCCTCAGTCTCCCAAGTAGCTGGGACTATACACTGCACAGGGCTGACCCCTTTAGCATGTAAATCAGTCTCCGTAGGATGGTCCTATCACTGTGTCATCCCTGGATGTGGTTATTTTGTCACCTCTATCATTGGTGTTCGTCTCATGAGTTTGGAATGAATGCTAAATATTGTGAGTTTAAAAAAACAAAAATAGTGGGGTTGAGGCGAATGCATCCATGCCCAGAGCAAAGCACGGCCTTTCTGCTTGCTCAGTGTAAAGGTGTTGAATCAATCAAGTGGCGGGAGTCCTGGCTTTGAGATTTGCTGTTGCTGAGTCCCCTCCATGCCAGAGGGCCACAGGGATGCTGTCTGGCGGCTCTTGTTCCACCTTCATAGATTTATTCAGTTTCATGCTTTTCTTTCCTGCCCTGTGGAGCTGTCACTTCCTCCTCAGCTCTGCTATGTGCAAAGCCAGCCACTCTGTCTTACCTTCAATGGGCTTTGTTCTCTTTTAGAATTGGATTATATTTTACTTATTTATATATTTTGAGACAAGGCCCCACTATAAATCCCAGGCTGGCCTCAAACTCGTGGTGATCCTCCTGCCTCAGCCTCCTGAGTGCTGGGATTACACGGGTGCACCACCATACGCAGTTGGAATTTAATTATCTTACCTGGACCCCTGCATTGTGGATAGAACATGCTTTTTTTTGGTGGGGGGTACCAGGGATCAAATTAGGGCCCTTGTGCTTGCGAGGCAGGTGGTGGAACCACTGAGCTAAATCCTTGGCCCTAGAACCTGCTCTTCTGCAGCATTACCTCTGGCCAATTCCAAAGCCAGGGATTCCACACCAACTTTACAACACTCTGTGTTTTGTTTCTTCTTGGCCAAGGGCAGCAGAAGCAACAACCAACCAACTGACCTGACCATGGGTGGGGCTAATGGCCTGGGAAAGAAGATAAGCCCTGGAGAGTCTGCAGCTTCAGGGAGAAATAATGAGGACCAAGACAGCAGTGCTAACTCCAAGAAAAGCCCATAGCTACTATAAACTACAAAGACACATAGAGTTTATTCTGAAAGTGACTGCTTCATGGTAGGCTAGAGTTGGAGAAAAGATCCAGTGCAGTGCTTGCCATATGGCCAAAGAGTGTTTAAATGGACACCATGCTGGGAAGGGGTTAACTGTTTCAGACAGAGCCACAGAACAACTACAGAACAACTCCACTTCAGGGTTTCCCACAGTGACTGGGTGAGAAACAGCTATTGAGGCGCGTGGTATGGGCTAGACAAAGACCTTCTGAGAAGTTTAAGATTCAGAAGGACACTGATCCCCTGCCCTCCACAGAGGAAATGCAGGCCTGGGGTGTGTGGCTCTCAGAGGCAGCTGGATCTTAAAAGGCTGGCATTAAGGCCAACAGTCCGCTTGAAGCCCTTCCTGAAGCCTGCTGACTACATCTGGCAGAGACCCGTGGTCTGACTCCTTTCCCCATCTACCAGTGCGGGCAAGGACGTGCCTTGGCTCGGACAGTTGCCAGAGGCTGGAGTGCATGGACAGAGGAGCCTCAGGAGCAGGGAGAGCACCTCACAAATCCATAGACCTTAAAGCTAGATGGAGAAAATTGTGATTTGCTGGATCCCAAGACTGAAGATGCTAAAAATAAACCACTCACTCAAAAAGATAGAAAAACATTTTTACTCATTTTTTTTTCTTTTTTCCTTCATTGTTTTTTTGGGAACTTGGGCCTTCTCCCCACCCCCTTTTTTTCCTTTGCTTTGCTTCCTTAATTCTTTTTCCATCTTATTTTTTTTTCTCCTTTATTTGGCTTTCTGTTTACCCCTCTTTTTCTTGTTTGTTCTTTTCTGTTACTTTTTTTTTTTTTTTTTTTTTTTTGGTACCAGGGATCAAACTTGGGACCTTGCATTTGAAAGGCAGATAGCAGAATCATTGAGCTAAATCCCTGGCCCTCTTTTCTGTTGCTTTTTTCTAATGCTATTGATTTCCTTTTATTTCTGAATAGGATTCTCTATCTTGCTTTTTTCTCCTCATCTTCCATTGATTAATTTCTCAAATTATACTTTTTTTTATTCTCCAGCTCCCAATCCTTTTTTCTTACCAGTATAACTATTAAGCTTTATGAATCCAGATAGTTGATTCTATGCTATTACTCTTTAGTAAGGTTCTATTGTTAGTGGAGGTATAGTTGTGGCATTTAGTAGCTCTTTCTTTACATCAATATTTGGTTTGTCTGCCAGGCATGGTGGCATACTCCTGTGATCCCAGTACTTGGGAGGCTGAGTCAGGAGGATTACTGTGAGTTTGAGGCCAACCTGGGCTACATAGTGAACTCAAGGATAGCCTGAACTACAGAACAAGACCCTGTCTCAAAAAATTTTTTTTGTTTGTCTTAGTGTTTATATTATAACTATATATCTCTTTTATATGGTTAAGAGTGGTACAGTACTGATCCTTAGGAATAAGTAAATACCTTTTGGTAATAATTCTCAATATGTATGGTCTCAATACCCCAATCAAAAATATAGATTGGAGGCTGGGGATTTAGTTCAGTGGTTCTATCACCCTCTTTGCAAGTAAAAGATCTGAGTTTGATCCCTAGAACCCCCCAAAAAAGACAAAGACTGGCAAAATGAATCAAGAAACAAAATCCAAGAAGATGTGGTTTTTCTATAAAATGGAATATTACTCAGCCATAAAGAATGAGAAAATAGATTCATTCATAGGAAAATGGATACATATTGAAGATATACTCCTAAGTGAAATAAATAAGTCACACGTGTAAATACCGAATAGTTTCCCTGGTGTGAATAATCTGCAACAATGCATAAGATCCTAATAAGATTACTGACATTTTGAAATGGGAAGAAAGGAGCTAAAGGTGTAGGGAAGGTGGGATGGGTAGGGGAAGAGTAAAAAGGGAAAAGAAAAAAAATGTGAGAGAATGAAAAGATGAAAATAAAGTGTTTGTAGATGGGGAGGGGAGGAGGGGGTGAAGGGAGGGCAGAGGTAAGGGGAAAAAATGAGAATCAAGACTTGTCATGTAGAGGTACAAGATCCCAACAATGAATGTAACTGTACTGTATCCCTAAAATGTACCAATAAACTTAATTAAAGCTGAAAAAAAAAGATAGAAACAAAATCCAGGGGCTGGGAATTTAGCTTAGTGGTGCCACCACCTACCTTGCAAGCATAAGGTCCTGAGTTCAATCCTGAGTACAAAAAAAAAAAAAAAAAAAAAATCAACAGTATGCTTTATATGTTTAACCCCTCTAAATATTCCTAGACAAAACTAAATGATACAAAAAAATAGGGATCTATCTCAGTGGTCTCGTTGCCTTCCCCACAAGCACAAGGTCCCAAATTTGATACCAAAAAAGTTCTAAATCCAAGGGTGGGTGTGGCAGTGCACACCTGTAATCCCAGCACTCAGGAGGCTGAGGCAGGAGGATCACTATGAGTTCAAGACCAGCCTGGGCTACACAGTGAGTTCCAGGTCAGTCTCAACTACATAGTGAGACCCTGTCTCAAAAAACAAACAAACAAACAAACAAAGTACTAAATCTAGAAAAAAATCTTCCATGCCACAGAAACCTGGAAACAAGCAGGAGTAGCTATCTTACTTTCAGAGAAAGTGGACTTAAAACCCAAATCAACCAGAAAATGCAAAGAAGGTCATTAATATTAACAGAACAATTCAACAGGAAGAGATAACAATTATAAACATAGGTGCACTGAATACAGGCACATCCAACATCATAAAACAAACACTACTGGATATGAAAGATCAGATAAACATCAACACATTAATTATGGGGACAGTAGTCTACTGTTACAAATGGACAGATCATCTAGACAAAAAAAAATCAAAAAGGAAATATCAGAGTTGATCCAAAGCTCTTAACAAATGAACTTCATAGATTTCTACAGGAAGAATACCCAACAGCAGAATATATATTCTTTCAAGCAAAACATGGAACTTTCTCCAAAATACAGCACATACTAGTCAATAAAGTATGCCTAGGTAAATGCAAAAGAGTGGAAATTTTCCTGTGCATATAACCAAATCACAGCTCAATGAAACTAGAACTCAATGAGAAAAGAAACCACAGAAAGTATGCAAGCGCATGGAAACGTCAAATAATGTATTATTTTTATAATTTTTGGACCAGGGATTGAACTCAGGGCCTCATGCTTGCCAGGCAGGTGCTGCACTGTTGAGCTAAATCCCTGGTCCTATAATACATTACTGAATAATCAGTGGGTCACAGAACAAATCAAGAAAAAAATTAATTCCTAGAATCAAATGATATTGCCAGTACAATATACCACACCCTTGTGGACACAATCAAAGCAGTCCTAAGAGGGAAGTTCATTGCTATGATTGCCCATATCAGAAAGATAGTAAGCCAAACAAGTCATGTAACAATATACCTCAACATCCTAGAAAAACAAACAAAAAAAATCCAAATCCAAGACTAGAGCAAGGAAGGATATCATAAAGATCAGAGCAGAAATTAATGCAATTGAAGCTGGGTGTGGTGGCTCATGCCTGTAATCCCAGCACTCCGGAGGCTGAGGCAGGAGGATCACTATGAGTTCAAGACCAGCCTGGGCTACATAGTGAGTTCCAGGTCAGTCTCAACTACATAGTGAGACCCTGCCTCAAAAAACCAAAACAAACAAACAAACAAACAATTGATACTAAAAACACAATCCAAAGAACTATTGAGTCAAAAGGCTGCTTCTTTAAAAGAATAAACAAAATAGAAAAACCCTTAGACAATCTTACCAAAAAAGAAAAAAGAAAGAGAGAAAAGGCACAAATCAATGCAATTAGAAATGATAAAGGTAAGGGCCAGCTTTTTAGCTCAGTGGTGCCACTGCCTGCCTTGCAAGTACAAAGACCTGAGTTTGATTCCTGGTAACCCCCCCAAATGATAAAGGCAAAATTATAACAGATACCATGGAAACTCAGATTATTAGGAACTACTTCATAAACCTGTACTCCAGGAATTTGGAGAATTTAGAAGAAATGGATAAATGCCTAGATACTTATGAATTACCGAGGGCTGGGGATTTAGCTCAGTGGTTCTACCGCCTGTCTCACAAGCACAAGGACCCGAGTTCGACAGCAAACAGAAGGCAGGAAATTGTTAAAAAGATCATGCATGCATCATGACCAGTAAGCTTCATCCCAGGAATGCAAGGATGGTTCAACAAACACATATCAATAAATGTAATACATCATATAAACAAAAGTAAGGACAAAAATCACATGATTATCTTAAAAGATGCAAAAAAGTGTTTGACAAGATCTAACATCCATTCATGACTTAAAAAAAGAAAAAGAAAAGAAAGTAGGTATAGAAGTGCCTTATCTCAGTTGGATAAAAGCCATTTAAGACAAACCTACTGTTAAGGCATTAGTTTGCTTAGTTTCCCAGGCTCACTTCAAACTTGTAATCCTCCTGCCTCAGCCTTCCAAGTAGCTGGGGTTCTGGGGGTGTACCATGGTGCCTGGCTATACTAAAACCTTAAGCCCAATACTCATGAATATGACTGTGTTGGAAACAGGGTGTTTGCAGTGGTGACTAAGATGAGGTCCTGCTGCATTGCAGTGGCCTTAGATCCAGTGATTCGTGTTCTTAGGAGAAAATCCTAGGCAGACATA